CCATCAAAGCCGCATTGATTCCAGGCCAAGAGTTGGAGCTGGAGCTGGCCAAGAATGGGACGTGAGGCGACAGCACGGGGCTCTGGGACAAGGCCGATGTTGATTGCTGGTGTTGTTGTTGTTGGCCCTGAGGCTGAGCTTGGGGTGCATGCTGAGATTGCTGCTGAAAGGTAAGGGGATTCATGGATTTGTCCGCAAGGGTATCGGGGCCCGAGGGCTGCTGGGCCTGGGCTTGCAGGGCGAGTAGCGACTGGGTCGGCGTCTGGGCTTGGGCCTGAGCCTGGGTCGTGAGCTGCGATTGCGCCATGGCCAATTGAGCTGAGCCCGCTGCGGATGAGGGCATGGGTCGATGCAGCTGAGAAGCCATCGAAAGGGCTTGCCAGGGTGTGGGCTGGGACATGGCGACACCACCTGCACCCGGTTGACTGCTGGAGGGCTGCGGTTGTCGCTGCTGCTGTTGCTGCTGCTGTTGTTGTTGCTGTTGCTGCTGCTGCTGCTGCTGCACCAAGTGCTGCATGAGTTGCTGCTGATAAAGCTGCATCTGCAGTGTCTGTGGAGTCCATTGGCGCTGGGAGGCGGCACGCAAGAGCGACTGCAACAGCAGCTGGGGGTCCATTTGTGCGGCGCCGGTGGCCCCCAGACCAGCTGCTGCCGCGGCGGCAGCGGCAGCGGCTGGGCCACCCAGGGCTGGGGAAGTGTCGCCAAAGCCGGTGCTGGATTGCAAATGGGCGCTGGGAATGGCATCAAGGTCCTGGCCGTGACCCGAGCCCGAAGGCGAATCGAAATCCCAGGTCTGCAAGATTTCAAAGGCCTTGTCCAGACTGTTTTGGTGGCGCTTGATGCCCTTGTGGCCGGATTGACGGTGGTGACGACGAAGCGAGTAGATTTGTCGATAATGGCGGCCACACGTCTCGCACTCAAAGGGGCGGGCATCCGAGTGTCCCAACAAGTGATGCTTCATGTGCTACAATGTCCATCATACATCAGCAAACAGCAGCGGCGTCCAAAGGGCGGTGAGACAAGACAGGCAGTGAGACGCAGAAGCTTGGGAGAGGGATGTCGGTCAAGGTCAAGGTCAAGTTCACATCCCATCACGCCAATTGACAGAGGAAGAACGCGCAGAAGAGAACACCCGGCCAAAGAAGCAAAGAAGCGAGACAGAAGGCAAAACAGTCAAAAAAAAGCAAGGGAAAGCAAAATCACGTGCCAAAACTTGGGCAGAGAGCGGAACGCGTCACACATGGAAAAGCGAGAGAAGGGAAGAGCAGCAGAGGCAAGCGAAGGGTGTCTTGGGCATGTGGCGAGAACGTACGTCGAGCCGGGTAAAGACGCGATCGCAGCCGGGATGCGGGCATTGTCGACGGCGGCTTTTGAGTGCGGAGGAGACGGCCATGATGAGGGGGTTGGTATCACGGCTGGCAGTGGTGGACAATGCAGATACAGTGTCCGGCTGTAGGGCTGATGACGAAGGCGCAGAGGAGGTTGTCGTCTCCAATGCCAAGGTGGACGCGGGCCGCAGCAAGGCTGCCGAGGAAGCCGTCGCAGCCAGGGACAGGGAGCGGGAGAGGGATGTTTTGGATGAGGGGGCAGTGTCAGTGTTGGTGTTGGACACCACCACGGTGGTAACGGCGGCAGGAGGAGGAAGCGAACAAGGGGGTGAAGGTGGAAAAGGGGTGGAAGTGGAAATGGCACCTTTGCGTGTGTGGCTTTTGTTGGTTTTGTTGGTTTTGTTGGTTTTGTTGGTTTTGTTGGTTTTGTTGGTGATGTTGGTTTTGTGTGTGGTGCTGGGATGAATGGGCTTGCGAGGTCGGGTGCGGCTATGACCATGACTCATGCGAGTAGTAGTACATGTGGTGGTTGTGTTACGGGTGCTGGTGGTTATGGTGTTGGTGGTGGTGGTAATCTGGGTGGAATTGTTTGTGGGTGCAAGGGTGTGGGTTTCAGGGCTCAGAGGTTGTGGGCTGGGCTGGCCACGGCCACCACGTTGTGTGCTGAAGGCATTGTTGAAATTCCTCTTGTTGGTGGCTGGCTCCGATGTCGTTGTTGTTGTTGTTGTTGCTGCCGAGTCTTGGTCGTCGGTCGGCCGGGCCATGCGACGGGCACGTTTGGCTGCTTGGGTACTGGGGCGATCGGTGGCCGAGGTCGAGGAAGAGGAAGAGGAAGAGGAGGACGACGACGATGGCATGGTGTTGTGTTGTGTTGTGTGGTCACATCAACCAAGCAAACCAACCCTCCTCCTACGGACGTCAAAGCAAGCAGATGCGCGTTCCTGGTCAAAAGCAAAGCGGCGTCACACGTCTTCGGAGCGGGAGCAAGGCACCCCCGGTGGTGCGCACGCGCGTGGGTGCGTGGAAACCCAAAGTTGTTGACCAAACAAAAGAGGAAAGAGGACGCAAGTGTGTGGACTGTGCAAGCCAAAAAGCACACAAAGCGTGCACGAGCCAGCTCAGAGTCATCAAGTTTCAAGTCGCAAATCCTGAGCAGGGACAGGGGAACGTGTGGGTGGTGTGTAGGCAAACGGAGATTGCATGAGGGCGAACAAGCGGGCCAAGTGTGTGGGAAAAACAAACCCTGGTAGGTCCAAATGATGGTGGTGGTGACGTGTGGGAAAACCCACCAAAAACGGCGTCGAGGATGTGAGTGTGGTGGACTTCAAAGGGCAAACAAAAAAAAAGTAAGACTGGGGTGACGTTTTGACTGGAGAGCAGGGTTGGATGGGTGAAAACGGAAACTATTTTTCTACGATGCACAATCAGTCTCTTTGGGAGTCCAGCTGTCAACAGCAAGCCAGCCAGCCAGCCAGCCAGCATGGACGAGGAGGAGGAGGACGAGGACGAGGAGGAGCACACACACACACACACACACACTCACACACACGCAGAGGTGAACCCAAGAGAACGAGGGGCCCCTCCAACAGCCCAGACCACCGCTCAGACCACAAAAACCGTTTGGATCAGACTGGTGGCGCTCACAAAACGACGAGACGGGTGCGCATGAGGAGAGCTCGTCACGAGTGGATATGTGCTGGATGGTATGATCATGGCAGACCCAGCTCAAGACGAGCCACACAACAGAATGATCGGCCAACCAAGACTGGGCATCCCGGACACACTCGCACGCCCAGGCTCGCCAAGAAGAGCTGAGTAAAGACCAGGCGAGGCTTACGCGCGAAGCAGGTGCAAGGGCAAGTCGACAATGCTTTTTGGCACTGGGCTGGCCGATGTGTGGGTGGCACCAAAGCAGAGCTCGAGGGAATATGTGAGTCAAACTTTTCCAACGAGGCAGCGATCGCACAGGTCACGCGAGAGAGTTGTGTGCGAGAATCAACCCGGGTTCGCAGACGAAAATGAGACTCTTTTTGAATTTGTTTGGGGCAAGGGAGAGGGGTGGGGAAAGAGGGGTAAGTGACCAACTCACAAACCCCTCTTTCGCGCACACACGAACGTTTGATCTGCCTGCCGCAGGACGATGCGCGATGGGTGGGTGGATTTGCTACACTCACATGTCAATCTGTCTCATCTGGTTTGTTGATTTGTTTGTTGCCTTGTCGGTTGGTGTGTTTGCTCAGACCAGACAGCTCTCAGACTTTTGAGCACACACACTCACACACACACACTCTAGCCGGCTGGCTGCAGGCCCATAGGCGGTTCACCAAGGTCGGCCTTGGAATTGGGGCGAGTTCGAGTTGAAGCATCATAATGTTGTGTGTGTGAGTTGGTAAGGAGGATTGACCAGTTTGTCGGGGTCTCACTCATATTTTGGCCTGGCTGAACACAAAAACCCATGTGTCAACCCTCACTCGTGGCCTGATCGCTCCTCGACCACGACCATAATAATGACGGGCAACGCTCAGGACAGGGGCTGCAAGTCAAGCGCGGCGCCTTTGGCCACACGCACAGGGTCCAGCAAGATCTCAACGACAGCGCAAAAGGGGTATGATGCTGCGCGCTTAATTGGAACCCCAAACAAAACCAACGATCTTTGGATCACACCTCCCACACAAATCCCGTCATCTGCCAAATACGTGCCAATGGGAGGAGGAGGAGGACCTTTGGTGTGATACACCATCTGGTTGAGTGATGACAGCATGTGTACACACTCTCTCTTGTCTGGAAAGAAGCTCGATCCGACCCCGGCCGCTGCCAGTGCAAGTGCCTCGTGGCCGTGTGCCTTGCCCTCTCCTAATTCTCACCTCTCCTCGCCCTCTCTCTCTCTCGCCCTCGCCCTCTCTCTCCTCGTCCTCTCCCTGCTGCCGATGTCGCGCAAAAAACTTGACAAGCAACACACGCACTTCAGGATCAATTTTCCCATCCCGCCAATGGTATGTCTTGATTCCACTCTGGCTACAGTCGCAATCCCACGTCGAACGGAAACGAGAAACGTTGCCGGGTGTGTGGAAAAGGTGACGCCCATGTGTGGTAAAACTCCAGCCAAAATATGTGCCACCACCGTCGTCACGTGTGAGAAAAGCCCAATACAAGTGTGGAGCGGTGTGGAGATGACTGGAGCCTCCTTTCCAGTGATACGGGACGGCGGTTTGGTGTGGTTGATGGGGCTCGTAGAGTGCCTTATGGGTCCAAAAAAAGGGTGGCAATCGCTACCTCACCCTTCTGCGGTAGCACTTCGCGACCAGTTGGAGTCCCACATGTCCTTACTTCACCCATAAACGCACCCTTTCCTCGAATGTATGGCGCAATCTAACCCTCAACATTTCTCACTCGATACCATGAAATTTTTGGTGCACTCGGGTTTTGTTCGCTGGTTCTGGATGCGAGCAGAAAGAACATCAGGCATCGACGAGTTCGAGAGAAGTGTCGAACGTCAGATTCAGCTGAACAGCTCGGCACGGCAGCATCGAACGTCAGAGACATCGCTGGCTGCTGCGACGAGCGCTCCACGTATACGTGCACTACAAGGCGCAGCAGGCCCCACCCCCGCCCCCCCAAAAAAAGAGAAGCGAGGGCATCACAAGACCACAACCAACATGTCTGATGCCAGCAGAAATTCAATCGCTCGATTCGAATCGTCCGCAGTGCAGCAGCGCCACACATGCAGCAGCCGTAAGGAGCCCGCCGGCCGGACAGCTCTAACACACACACAACACGAAACACGTGCGCAGCAACTTGCTCCGTGCTGACCGAGCAGATCACCGGCCCCTCTACCGTTTGCTGCGCTTGTTAGCTGGCTGTTGTTGTTGCAGCTTGCGCACAACAGAGTCCAAGCCTGGATGCACACGTGCAGATGAGATGCAAAGGCAGACAAACACACGTTCACCGTACATCCACCCACTCACCCACACACACACACACACACACACACACACATCCCAACAAGAAGAGGATACGTACCCGCCACGGCAGGCGCGCTGTCCGCGTTGGCTGACTGGCTCTTGCTCTTTTGAGAGCGTCGGCCCCCGCGCTGACGACTGCGACGATTGCGCTCCTCCAACAGACGCTCCATGTTTTTCGTCTTGTGAAAGCTGGCGTTGGTCGGATCAATGCTAAACTCGTGGCTGTTGTACATGGCCGCAAAACGGGGATCCTCCACGTCCACCTTGAACGTGTCCTCCTGCACCTGTATCGCCCAAGACCCGTAGGCCACCATCGCCCAAAACCAGGAATGAGACGAGTCGTATATGCTCGTCACAAATCCCTGCATCTTCACCCAAGGAGTCTCGCAAACACACCTCCTCTTGACGCTTCTTGGCCCGCCGCTTGAGTGTTTTCTTGGAACGACCCTCGTTGGCCACAATTTCGTTCATGTTAAAGTGCTTCTCGTCCGCAACCCCGACCAAGCGTGCCAGCTACGATATCAAGCACGACCATGACAGGTGTAAGGCCTGCGCTGTGTGAAAGACGGCTCAGACCCGCGGTCGCATGCCTCAAAGCCACGCCCGCTGCCATACCTGAGCCTCTGATACGGCTGCATCATCCTCGGCCTCGGCATTGCCCTTGCCGCTCTTGTTGCCCTTGCGACCCTTGCCACCCTTGCCACTCTTGCCGGGGCCTTGGCTTGCTAGCTCTTCGGCAAAATAGGGATCTTCTGCGGCCAGCTGCGCCAAATCCTCGTCATCGTCCTCTAGTCCATCCTCCCCGCTCTCCTCAGCGGTGAGTCCTGCCTTTTTAGCAGCCCGGCGCGCCTTGCGCTTGTCCTTGCGAATCTGCTGGTACTGCTCGCCCAGGGTTTGGGCCTGGTTTGTCGCGCCCCGAGCTACAAACCCCAAATTGACACATCATATACGCCAGTCAGGTCATGATGAACGTCGCACAAACACAGCAGTGCGACGCCAGAACGCGACCGGCATGGACAACATCAACCTACACTCGATGGTTTTGGCCAGCTGCTTGGACTTGTCCGTGAGCGCCATGTCCCATTGAATTTCCATCTCCGCGGGCTCATCGGCCTCCTGCTCTTGCTTGAGCTGGCCCACCAAGGCACGATATGCCGCCGCACTGGATTTGCGCCCGCCGCCAGAACTTTCCTCCTCGTCATCCGAGCTGTCATCATCCGAGGCCACGTATGCTTCAAAGTCCATGCGCTTCAGCTCCTCACGGTTGAATCTATGACAGCGAGCACACACGCACACGCCACACATACCATTGCGCCAATCAAGGAGAACATGTGAGATTGCCAGTCAGCAAAGTGGAGGTAACCACCACGTAGGTTGTGGGCCTGGCCACGTCGGCAAGACGTGACACTTACTTGCGCTTGGTCACCTTGAGGCGCTCCACGTCGTCTGCGTCCCACGTCAACGCAACGTCCGAATGCTGTAAAGCCTTGGTCGTGAATCTGTTCAAGACCACGCAAACCCAAATCAACCAGGTCAGACCAGCTGCAGACCAGCTTCAGACAAGTGCGTCGGCAACAAAACTTTACACGCGCTACTCTATCCTACTCTGTGGGGTTGAAGCTCTCCGCATCTGGCAGCTGGGTAGCTTGATCCCGCGGCTCTTGCTCAAACTCCTCCTCATCGGGAATGTACCTGCCACACCCACATCACTGGTATCAGCACCCAAGCACGCAAGCATAACTATGCCTGGGGCCTGAATTTTTAGCTCACCGCAAATCCAGCACATTGGATGACTTTTCATATTCTGCGCCGTCACACGCATCATAGATGGCCTTGGCAGTTTCTATGTCCACAAACGCACAAGTTGACACATCATTTTTAGAACAAGTGACAATAGACGTGACAGCCCATGATGACGTGGGCTTCAAAGCTGGTCAGCCTGCCATGAGCACGCACCAGGCGAGTCGCACTCCACAACAGCATAGTAGTAACGCAGCCGCTGCAGCTGGTAGGCGCGCAAGCGGTCTTCTTCGAGTTTGGCCTTGTCCACCTATGCAGCGACGCCGGCGACATGAGAATGATCGTTGCTGATCCAGCACCCGGTATGCTCCTAACATGATACGGGTGACCGTCGCTGGACGCGTGCCCGGCAGGAGGCGCGCTAACCTGGACGCCCGGAGGTGGGTCGGGGAGAGATTCGCGGATCAGTCGACCTGGGCCTTGACGGTCCTCTTCGGCCATGCGCTCGCGCCCGAATTCCGAAGGGAAGATGGCCACCCGCTCCACCACGCCCGAGCGTGGTTTGAAGCTGTTGACCAACACTGCAAATAGCAAAGGGTCCAAGTGAATTAACACACACACACACACACACACACACACACACACACACACACACACACACACACACACACACACACACACACACACACACACACACACACACACACACACACACACACACACACACACATGTGAAAGAGTCAAGCCTGCTACTCTTGTGTCAGCACAGAAGTGCCGCACACAGAGACGTGAACGTACCATACAGATCGACAGCGCGAATCAGGTCCCAATCTAGATTGACAATAGCCAAGCTGGCAGGTCGCGGGCGTGAGGATACGGCTGGAGCGTGGCTCAGTGCCTGGTAGGCAGGCATGATTGCGCGAGAAATGGACGCACCGACGGCTGATGTCGTCCGTGTGGTCGACCTGATCCAGGGCCTCAAAGACGGTCCATGGCGTGTCCTATTGACTTTCTGCGTGAGGGCGACACGTATGTCCAGGGCGTATGAACACAACCCGGTCTAGCCTTGGTGACGCACCGCTTCCTCCTGATATTGCGCCTGGGCCTCGTCGTCATCATCATCTTCGTCACTCGACTCCATAAGACCCTCGCCGCGGGAGTAGTCGGGCTCAGCGCCCGAGTCGGATGCCTCGCTTTCTCCCTCCTCGTCAATGCGCAGCGTCTCGGCAAAGAGTTCGGCCTCCTCTGTCGGATCACGATCCAGTTCCTCCTGCTCTGTCGTGTAGAATCGGCGAAGGTCCTCGTCCTGCGAATGCGTAATCTTTCGACCCCGTGCATCCACCTTGGCTGTGATACCATCATGTTCGTGCACGGATGAGCCTCTGATAGACACGGGCGGGTTCATCCATCAACGCTGCACTCCTCGTTCGTCCGGTAGGGCTGACCTGCAGTCTGGAAGCGCTTGTCGGTAAACATGGACTTGAACCGGTCGTCAATGACCACTTTCTGCTGTCGCTTGCTTGGACGCTAACAGCCCAGCAAGGGGGTAGTGCCAGCGTGAGTGGGCTTCACCCTCAACAACCTTTTGCTACGGCCTTGTTCTTGCCACGTCTCTGCGGGTGCGGGTGGAGAGGGAGCCAGGGTCACGCCGCCATGAACGTGCCGGAGCCTACCTTGAAACGAGGGTCATTGTGCGCGTGCGCAAAGCGCGCATCTTCAATCATGGGTGGGGGTGCCGCATCTGAAGCCGACGCAGCAGCCCCCCGCTCCCCCTGGCGAGCCGCAGCTCCCCCAGGACTCTTGGCGCTGCCCTTTTTGCCCATCGTGCTCCTTGATGTGTGCGCTTGACGGAAAACTGAATCTGCGACCACACGTGGCAGGTTTTTGCTGACAATCCCTCTCTCTCTCTCTTCGACACCATTTCGTTGCAATTTTGCTCGAATTTTTTATCAATTTCTCTCTTGACATGTGAAGCGTGCGCAAGGAGGACGCTGCAAGGTTCGACGCCGGCCTGCTGTTGGGTTCGCAGGAAGCAGCGCTTTGTTTGTTGTTTTGTTTGTTGCTTGCTTTTGCGGCAATCTAGCAACCTTGTGCGAGATGATAATGCGGTAGCTTACGTGCCGTGCTTCCAAAGTACACTGCTTTTCGAAGTTGTGCGACTGCTCGTTTGCAAATTGAATTCTCCTGTGAGCTCTGACTCATTCATTTGTTGGTGAACGTTCCCACATGGCCGCAGCGCTGTGGTTCGAGGAGCCCCGAGGATCACGCAATATCAAAGGATTTGAATTCGTGACGTCCAGCACAACAAAAGGAAAAGGTTGACACACAATAATCAAGAGGGTGTTAGCGTCAAATCCGTGCTTCCACGCATTTGAACACTCCCACTGCTTTCGCACACACTCAGCATCGGTCGCTATGGGTCTTCCTATTGGTATTCCATAGCTACGACGACCTCACACATTGACACCTACTTTTGGACCCCCTGGGCTTGATCCTCCTCGTGGCAGTCACATGAGTAAACACCGCGTGTGACGCGGTCCCCACGATGCCTGGGCAGCTGCCCTGGGGCAATAAGCTTGTGGCTACTGTTGTTTCCCTTTGTTGTGACACCTGCGGTCGGGCACGAGTTGCACTTTCCCTATCCTCGGGATTGAGCGACTCTACAGCTATTCTAACGGTGCACCTGGTCTGGTCACTGTGAATGCTTGCCGACCGCAGGTACGTCAAGCCCTCTGCCATTCTGTCTTCCCCTTGCTCTCCTGTGTGCTCTGCTCTCTTGTGACTTTCCCTATCCTCGGGATTGAGCGACTCTACAGCTATTCTAACGGTGCACCTGGTCTGGTCACTGTGAATGCTTGCCGACCGCAGCTGGTTCAATTGACCTCAAGACACCACCAAAGCTTTCGCTCCGCTCCGACGGACGTCTCTCAAACCTCTCTCAAAACGCTTCCTCAAACCTACGCGCTCCTCG